TTCGATGATCCATAAAAACTTAATGCTGTTTTCACATGCTGACGCTGTCCTTATGGCTGAGGTTTGAAGCATGGTGGCAAGAGGAGGCATGCAGGGAGATATTCATGCTTTGCTGCCTGAATTCTGCCAGTTTGTCACTACATGATTTCAGTCTCCAGCACAGCCCTACCAGCACTGTGATTTCAGTCCCAGCTTTGCCTTGTTGAAACTGCCATGGGGAGTGGGTAAAATTGATTCTCATTACAAATGATGTACCTACAGGCTATAATCAGAAAAACAAAACCAGAAAACTACATTGGTACTGGAATACCTAGAATTTGTCAGCCAAAGGACAGCATAGTCTATGCCATTTTCTGGGGGTCTTTTGGAAAACACTGAGATGAGATCTGCTCTTCGGAGTTAGATGTGTGTACATTAAATCAGACAGGCCTACAGGTCTTCTGCCTCCAAAACGTTTTTGGACCTTGTATGACATTAAACTTCCCCTTGAGTCTGTGAATAGAGTGCTTTAACTCCCTGTTGTTGGAAAATTGGGCAGTCTTCTCTTAAAGCTCTACTAGATTCAGTGACACATCACAGCTCTGCTCCTCACAAGGCAACCAGTCGTTACCTCTGGGGTGAAACGAGCTGTAGGACAATATGATCTTGGTGACTCAGATATCCTGGAATTACCCATTGCATTGCAGATGAATTATAGGAATAGAGTGCTAGCTAACCCATGAGTCACAGAGAACAGGATCTTAAGGAATGGAGCCATATTTTGTTATGCAGCCAAACCAAGCACTAGGTATGAAGTGAAACAGTGTGTACTGACCTGGCAGCATGAAAGCCCTTCATGTCCTCTGGGAACAGCTTGGGAGATAGGACTGAATAAGTGAGAAAGCAGCAGCTCCAGGGCTGTTACCTGATGGTCAGAAGAACAAGTCCTTTAGGCCCTTGACATGTTTTGTTTATACCTGCAATGATTGGTATTCTGAGAGGTTTTTTGATACTTGCCTGACTTTAAGAATGTGACTGCTTCTGGGGATTAGTAATGTATTCTGTTTTCCTGATAACCATGGCTCGTTCCAGAGTAGTATAATGAAACTGGCACCAGGATGGGTCTGTGGGTGACTTTATCCTCTAACATAACCCACTATGGGAGAGATGAGGAACCTATGCTCCCAGCCCTGGTTCTGATTCTTTGGAGCAAAACAATTTTGCATCAGCCTCCCCACATTTGTGGCATAAGTCACTGCTGCTCTGGAGAGAAGTGGAGATGAGCTAAAGTTTGCAGCAGTATTAATAGTTTCAGCTTTGTTTTTCCTTCTCTCACTGGTTCTTTTTTCCTTTTGTCTGTATAGTTAACTATTAAACCTCTTGACAAAAAAGCAGAAGTCTTCAAGTTCTTTTCTTCTCAACTCAAAGTGAACAAATTGGTGAGTGTCTTGGGTAAGCCATGAGTGCTGATTTTCTTGGAAGGGAAGCAACTGCCAGCACTTGTGCTGAAGTCAGAATTGTCCCGTGAGGCCAGTGTGGGGTTCTTTGTCCCTCTGGCTGGAGCACAAGTGCCTCAAAATCACATTTGTTTTGCTTTCCCCCTCCAGATTTTTCAGTTGTGCATTGGAAACCATGACCTCTTCATGAGGAGAAGAAAAGTGGACTCAATAGAGATCCAGCAAATGAAAGCACAAGCCAGGGAAGAAAAGGCTAGAAAAAAGGTAGATTCTTTCTGCTCCTTTATTGTTGAAAACACTGATTATTATTCTAGCTGGTGCCCTTGCTGGCCATGCATTGCATCAATGTGTGTGTGGGAGGTGAGAAAGTGCAGCAGCATTGAATGTGGGAACAGCCCCAAAGTGTATGTGGCATCTCAGGGTGTTGGTGATGCTTGTGAAACTGAATTGGTGATCACAAAGATTTGGGGCACATAACAGATCAATCCAAGGCCTCTTGTAGCAGTGAAATAACCAGTATTACCTGTTAGGGGAGTTGAGTGCTGCAAAGTGTAAGCAGCTTCAGCATTGCATCTCTGACTATCAGTCCCCCAGCTAGAGAGGACCCCATTCTTAGATGCATTTCCTGTGCTGCTTCAGGCCCAGGTGAGACTCAGCTGCAAACCCACAAACATGGCATTGCTCATCCTATTTCCAGATGGAGAATCAGAGGCTGGCCAGGGAGAAGCAGCTTCGAGAAGAAGCTGAGAGAGCCAAAGAGGAGCTGGAAAGGCGTCTTTTCCAGCTGGAAGATGAAGCCAGACAGGCCAACGAGGCCCTGGTGAGTAGCACGTTAGTCTGAATATTCTTGTGCTTGATGGGCTTTCTTGGTAGAGAAGCAGAATTTTTTTGTCTTATGGCTCCTGTGAGACACCAGGCATTATAGCTCAGGCAAGGCAGGAGAGTTTCTGATCACTGGTGGAAAGGGCATCCAGGAATATCTGAGAGAACTCTGCTCTGCCATAATCTCCATTTGCTGTGAGCCATTTGTTCCCTGTATTTGGTTCACAGTGCTTTTTTCAGGCAGCCTTGGAGCTGAAATTGGGAGAAAGGGCCATGGTGCACTGGCAACTGAAGGGGCCAGCTTCAATTTTTGGTTGATATCTTTGTCTAGCTCTAAGCACATGTGTCTCCTTGCTTTGTAGAGGTGAGAGGCAGGAAGTTCTGGAGCAGAGGAGGAACCCCAGACCCTACAATAGTTTAATGTATTTTTATTCTAAGAAACAATGTTTTTATCACTTGATTTTTTGGGGGAGAAGGTGTCCTCTTCCTGACTGTGTGCAGGGGTGATTTTGTAGATGCTAGACAAGGAACTAAGACAAATTGTTTCTTCTTAGCTCCGATCCCAGGAAGCAGCAGAGTTGTTGGCTGAGAAAGCTCAGATTGCAGAAGAAGAGGCAAAATTGCTGGCCCAGAATGCTGCAGAAGCTGAGCAAGAGAGACAGAGGCTGGAGATCACAGCTCTGAAAACCAAGGAGGAGAAACGCCTGATGGAGCAAAAGATGCATGAGGCAGAGCTGATAGCAGTGAAGCTGGTGAAGGAGTCTGACCGGAGGTTAGGTTTGCCTGGCTGGGGTTGTGTGGTCTCAGCTGGGATGCCTGAGTACAGAGAGTGCTGCTTGGCTTACAGCTAAGCCCAGGAGGGAGGAATTGTTCCTGAAGTAACACTTCAGAGTGACTAAGCCTTCTTGTGTTTTGTTTGTTCTATCTGGAACCAGTGGTTGTGACTTCAGAGTGACTAAGCCTTCTTGTGTCTTGTTTGTTCCATCTGGAACCAGTGGTTGTAATGCAGGTCAAGATGTTTAGAGAGGATCACATGCAAAGCTTTAGAGATGCTTAGTATGAAAGATCCAGAATGCAGAAGCATTTTCTATTTAGTGTGAAAAGAGCACTGGCTACCTAGCTATCTGTATTTATCATTCTGCATACCCTGTGAGTTAGGAGGCTGTGTTCATTCATTAGTACCAGGTGATGGTCTCTTGCATCCCTGTCAGATCTTTGGGAAGTGTAAACCAGGTAAACTTGTGTTGAACATAAACCACTCTGCAAGTGTTTGCATGTTCCATAACACTGTGCTGCCTGAAGATGCAGAGCAGGCCAGTGTTGACAAAGGATCTTTAATCTTCCTATTAAGGGCCTTCTGCTTGTTTTAGGACACTGCCAAGAAGCTTGCCAAAATAAAGAGCACCTCTCCCCACCTCAGGGAAGGATCTCTCGTGGCCTGGAGAATCAGTATCAGCAAGTCACAACTGAGCCCATGGAAACTGTGAATAGGAAAAATATTAATTCAGCCAGTTTGTGCAGGATTGTCTCTGAAAGTGTGTGTCATGCTGTGTCCAGTTAGTTATCCATGTGACCATCACAAGTGTCTTGATGGAAAGGAATCACTCACAGTAACAGGGCTGTTCTCTGGAAGCTAGTGAGGTGTAAAGCTCTGAAATCCATGTGTTGCTTTGTGCTGGAAATCATCAGCCATTCACAACAGGCTATTTGTCTTGCAGAGCCAAGGAAGCAGAGCATCTGAAACAAGACCTGCATGAAGCCAGAGAGGCTGAACGAAAAGCAAAGCAGAAACTCTTAGACATAACCAGGCTTAATTATCCTGTAAGTTCCTGCTCTACTGGGCACCACTTCATCTTCAGAGATAGTCAGATGTTGATAGCATTTTTATAGCCCCCATCAACCTGAGCAGTGGCATGTCTGCATCCAGCTGGGGGACAAACACCTTGTGGAACCAACTGGTGCATAAACACAGTGTAGCGAGGATGGAAGTTGTGTTTGTTCAGGGCAGTGAGTCAGGTTGTAAAGAAAGGCAAAACAGAAGTTAAAAACAGAGCTGGTGTTGGGACTTAGGGAGCAGAGACTGTCTTGCCTTCATGGCAAGTACAACTCAGTGCCATTCAAGTCAGGCAGTACTTTGTGGAGATGGTTGTGCTGAACCATCTGTGTCATCCTGGCGTAAAAAATGCCCATGAGTGTCTTTAGGCAAAGCAGATGAAGCTGTCTCCAGCAAAAAGGCAGCACTAAGGCTGCATGCCCCAACTCTCTGCTCCATTCTTGCTGAGGATGGATTTCCATTCTCTGCTGAAACAGAAACATTGCAACTAGGATACTCCTCTGGCCTTGGATCTGTGGGTTGTGGACTTCAGCAATTCATCTGGGTACAGGGAAGGTCTGGAGGAGAGATACTCCTCTGGCCTTGGATCTGTGGGCTGTGGACTTCAGCAATTCTTCTGGGTACAGGGAAGGTCTGGAGGAGGATCTGTGTGTCTCAGAATCCATGGGTAACTTAGGAAATGGCTCAGCATGGCATTTTTGCAGAAGCTGGGGAGCTAAACTCCAAATCAAACAATCAGATCTTACTGACAGTGCTTGTGTTGCCTCTTTCAGCACATAGTCAAGTACCCCCAATACTCACCAACTGACACCAGAGATGCCAACTTCGACAAAGGATCCATAAAGCTGGATTTGAAGGACATTGACCTGAAGAGGCTATCATTTGAGATAGAGAGAGAGAGGTATTTGTGTGCTTGTGGTGTAAATAAATGATAATTTTAAGCATGGAAAGTACAGAAAGGAAAAAAATCTCTGGGAATCACAGTTCATCCTGTTAATAACTTGGAGTGGCCTCCTACTTGTATGTATGGCTGGAGACCTTTTACTGAGCTGGTGTGGATTATTCTGTGTCAGACTATCTATTTATACACAGGACTAATGTTTTGGTGGCATCAAGCCATGGCAGGTCCAGAACCTTCTGTCTTGGGGAGCCTTACACAGGGGCAAAGAATTTTACCGATTTAACAGCATGGGAGAGGACAGAAGTTTCCCTCTAGTGCTGGAGTGTGGTAGTGCTGTGAGCTAATCCATCACAGGCTTTTCCTCGCGTGGTCTGGAAGGAAATGCTTGGTAAAATGTTAGGAAGCAAAAAGAAGGAAGTGAACCCTCTTCTCACTGGGTCAGAGGAGTCAGATTGACATGTGCCAGACTCATTTTGCCTACCAAAAACTAAAATGAAACAAAAGGCAACTCTCCTCCTTCCACACACACCTGTTCTTGAGCTCTGTTGTGTCACTAAACTTTTTGTCTCCAATGTGTGGACTCAGGCTTGACTACTTAGAAAAGAGCAGAAAATTCGAAGATCGACTGAAAGAACTGAAATCTGAAATTCATGCTTTGAAACTAGAAGAAAAACAGTCTGGGCTTTACTCCCGTTGGAATGAAGTACTGGGATCCTTGGATCGCTCCTTAGGAAATGTAGGTACCCCAAAATCCCTGCACTTTCTTCAGCATGAACCATGACAGAGAATAGTATGAGTGTGCCAAAACTGCTGTATTTCAGTTCAAGGCACAGACTTTAGTACCCTTGATAGTAAAATATTAGGAGCATGAACACAGAGGAGGAAAATTCCTGACAAAACAAAATCTACGACATTTTCCCCGGGTGGGATATCAATATCATAAGCAAAAAAATAATAATCTTACTTTACAGATTATGAAATCACAATAAGGATTTAAGATCTTGGAGCAAAAAACAGGTTTACATGTGGTTCCTTACAGTTTGCATCACATTCCCATTCATGTGCTTTGTGGTTGCTGAAAGTCATAAAAATCTTGGTGGTGTTTTTTTTTTTTTTTAAATTTCAAGACAATGAGGAACTAGACTCAGATTTTTGTTATAAGTTTCTTGTTATTTGTATAAACACTTCAGCTTATCCCTGAAGCAGTGCAAGAATAGGACTGACTGTCCTTGCAGGTTGTTCCACGTGTTGCAAAAATGGCTCTGAGTCAACAGTTTTAGAGAGAGAAGGGAGGCTTGGAAAAATTATGAGGAAAGAGCCCTTTATTTTCTGACTATTCATCTACTGTTCTTTTTGGCTTAATGAGTGTTGATATAAAGAGGGCATTAAATTTCCATGTGCTCTTTTCTTTTAAAGGCTCCATCATGGATGAAAACCTTTGAAGCTGGAGATTCATTGGATATAAATCTTCAAAGACCTTTCCCTGCTTACTTGTTAAACACTGCAAGCAGCTGGCCTTGTGCCAACAAAGCTCAGCACGTGGTGCCAGTGGAAAAGTCATCATCTCAAGCAAATTCATTGGTTGCCAACAGTGTGGGCACAGGAACCAGAAAACAGATTATAAAGGTAATCAGATTTGTAAGTCACTTCCCAAATGTTGACTAGAGGTTGAGAGTTCAGAGACAATGGTTGGGTGTAGGGACCTGCTCTGTCTAGCTCTCTCACAGCCTCTCAGATGACAGGTCAGTGCAAGGCTGGTGCACCATTTGGGAATGTTTATGTCTTGAGGCCACCTGTTTTTCCTCACTCATGATCTAAGCTGGAATTCAAAGCCTTGGTAAATGAAGCAGAGATGCCCATACACAGCAGGAGGATCTGTGTTAAATTTTGTTTGTATCAGGCAGACTTGGAAATGAGAAATGTGCTCCCAGGTATAGAGAGCTTAAAACATACTGTGCCTGTCTTTTGGTTTTAAAGGGCAGGGAGAGAGATACCAATAAATGTGCAGACTTCCAGCAGTTCAGTTTCATTCCATGTGTTCCCTGTCAAAGTCCTGAAGAGCTAATGAGCTGGATCTTATGAACAAACAACCTGTTTTCAAATGTCACTAGACTGGAGAACCTAGTGTGCATTCAAGAAGAACTGTAAGGGCATGTGGTGTTGAACAGTGGGAAGGAAATCAGCTTTCTGTAGGCAGTGCTAATTGTGCCAGGTATTGGGAATGAAGAAAGTTTGATGTATTTACTGCTGGTTTATATGAACAAAAACTGATCCTAAAGGATCAGTTAGAAGCTCTGGTCTGTAACATTCAATACCTCAATCTTCAAGGTTTGTGTGGTTAGAACTAGAAGGAACACAGTTGAGTGTAGCAGCAGCAGAGGGATCAGCTCTTTCTAAGGCAAGTAGCAGAAGTGAGTTTTAAGACTAACTTCATCCAAATAGCAGAGGTGAGGCAAGTACACTGGTTTGAAGGAGGAAGAAAAAGCTATAGCAGGGCATCTTGCAAAAGGCTCCAGAGTGAAGGGAAGAACCAGAGACCAAAAGGAGTTCCTTTAAGTAGGAGTTCAGTTGAAACTAACTTTTCCTCTTTGGTTCACCTATAGGTCCAGCAGCATGACTCGGATGTGATCTACATTTGAAGCCTCTTGTTTCCTTACCAGGCTGGTAGGACTGATGGCAATCCTTTGGGCTGCTGCAGAATGCACATATACAAGGACACTTGGGCAGCTCTGTCTGCTGACAGGCATCAGCACGAGAGACATGGCACTGCAGCTAGACAGGTGCCAGTTAGCTTCAAGCACACAACACCAGTTAGGAGGCTCAGAGTGCTGGTGTAGGAGAGGGCTAGTGTCTCTGGGTAAAATGGTAAACATGCAGACCCAGAGGAATGTTGTTTACTACTTATGCACTTTTGAAGAAACACTTATACTTTGCTAAACCTTCCTCCCCCAGGTGTTTTCACACACTGACTTATCAGTGCAGTGCTGTACTGCTGTAGGAAGGATGCTAGGCAGCAAGTGCCCAGGAGATGTTTGGGATGAGAAGATTGTACACAAGCTTGATGTTTACATACACAATAGACTAATTATGTTTTTGGTTTGGTCCATGGGACATGACTCCCACAGAGCTGCTCAACATTTTAATGTTTGCCTGCCAAATATTTTCCTTTTCCTCCCCAAACATTTCTTGGTTCACTTAATTGATTTGCATTTCTCCGTGAGAAATCTCAGCTTTTAATTCCAGATGTAGAAGTGGACATCTTCAAATACCTCTCATTCCTGGGGGAATCCTTTTGTTTGGAATGCAAAGCTTCTGTTCTTACAGTCTCTGACTAGATCAAGCACTTTCTGTTGCTTTTGCCGCTTGAGCAAACTTTGCATACATTAACTGCCTTCCCAGTTCTGTGCAACACAGCTCCCAAATTAGACAAAGACAAAAGATGCTGTTGGTGTCTGCTAAAGTGGGACTTGCTTCTGATGGAGAGGTGCATGCAGCAGTGTCTGCCTCATTAGTAAAACCTCCTTGCATTTTCTGGTTTTGTGTGTGTTTAAGTGTCTGTTTCACCATCAATCTTCACTCTGAGAACCTCTGGGGAAGCAAACAAGATGCAGCTGCAGCTACAGGAGTTGAGCATGTGACATGTGATGTAAAAGAACAAGATGCAGCTGCAGCTACAGGAGTAGCAGGGTTGAGCATGTGACATGTGATGTAAAAATGAATGTTAATGTTGTTAAATATCTTGTTCTAAGATTAAAAAAACCCCACGTTCAATAAAAAGCTTCAATTTCCGCTTGCTACTAAGAGCTTTGAAGGGAATGTTGTGTCAATACTCCTACAACGTTAACAAGACAGGTTTGAAGAACAAACACACAAATCTCCTCTGTACACATCTGCACCAGGCTGAGCACGGTAGGGGATGGCAACTGCAGACAGTTCTGTGTCAGGCTTGTACCAGTGGTGGCAGCCACATGTGGAGATGGACATAGCAGCCTAGAGTGGTGTCTGTCTGTGTTCCCAGCCCTGAGAGCAGTTCCTGCCCTGGGTGGAGTGTGTTAATTCACTTCACAGCTCTGTCCAAGCTGTTTGCAGACTATTGCCTATTACATAGTTTCTGCTCTGTCTGCATAAAGCCTGGTGTGTAAAAGGGAGAAGCTGTTAGGGATCCAGAAATGATGAGGCAGATCCTGTCAAGGTCCCAAGGTTGAGGAGGTGACATTGGCCAGAACTTGGAGCAGTGAACCAATTGCCTCTATCATATAGGCAATGGTCCTAGGGAGAAACATCACAAACCAACTCTGAATGTGGCATTCTCAGACTTGAGGGACTGAGCAGTGCTGGGATTTCCCTGATTCTTCTTTTCCTGTTCCCTCTTTTTTGGCATGTCTTGTCACAGATAACTAAGCTTGTACACTCAGACTTCACATGTGCTGGAGCTTCCTTTTGCTGTTGTATCTGAGCTGCATCGTGGTGTGGGGGGGCATAGAGGAAGATAACTGCTCCACATGCAGGATTGATTGATTTCTTTGGACTTAGTCCTGTGCATCACAGTGAAGAAAAGGACAAGGTCACACTGTTGCCAGCTAAAACATGAAGCCTGCACGAGCTGTTCTCAGCCTGCTGGCTCACGTGTGTCCTTGCTGTGCATTGCTCCTGTGCAGCACCATGTTCCTGCATACTTGCATGGGTGTTTGAATGATTTAGATGGGGCAAGAGGAGCTGGGATCTGCTGGAGAAATGCTTGTATAACCACAGATGGAGTCAGGTGCAGTGTGCTGTTGCTGGGAGCTCACTGCAAAGAGAAGTGCCACTCGGGAGTTAGTTTGCTTAAAACCTAAACAAATATTTGCAGCAATTAAACTTTGTAAGCTGGTGCTTCTGATGCTCATACTCACTTGCAGTATTGACCACTGATTGTCCTTCAGCTGAAGAAAGTGTAAGAAACCTGAGCTCTGGTTTATCCCAAAGCAGGGAAGAGAACACAGATACATGTTCTAATCAGTAATTGCAAGATATGTCACCCTGAAGAGTGAGGTATTTATCAGATGATGCTGTCAGCATCTTTGAACACTCACAGCCCAACACAGCTGCCTGGTGAGGACCTGAGGACCAGCAGGCAGCAGATGGTGCTGCAAGGCTGCTGTGTGCACAGCTCAGACATTCTGCAACAGCTCAGAAAGACCTGGCTGGGAAACTCTGTATTGCTCTTTGGGAATGAATCTCTGCCAGTTTGTGTGTTCCCACACTAGCCTGATCTTGCTGCTACTCTCTTCCTGGAGTTTAACCTGACATCATTGTTGATGGGGATTCAAAATTTCTGAGCACTATACTCTGAGAAGTAATTATTGCATGAGCAGCTTAGTCCCATGGGCATGATCTAGCTCCCCATATTACAAAAAAAAATCCTCTAATGGTTCTGACACCTCATTGTCATCGTCAGACTGTGGAAATGGACTTCTGAGTGGATTTCATCCATGACTGCCAGAAGCATGTGGGACCCCATGGCTCTGGTGCTATGTGATATTTTTATTAATGCTCTTTGAAACAAGCATAGACTTGTTAAATTTGCAGAGCGTGGAAGAGTCATGGTGTGTAGTGCAGAGGGTGAGAGAGGCCTGAGAACAAGTCTACAAGGGTCACTGAACAATTTCAGCCTTTGTTTTCATGCTGGATAGGACACGATGTTCTAGTCTCAAACTATAGCAATATAATGGAGCTAAAAATCCTGCAGCAGGGAGGAAGTGCTAGGAGATCACCTGGAGAGCAGGGAAGGCTGTTCCTGAAGTGACACAGTGTGTGCTGATCTTCTGTGTGGAAGCTAATGTTTCTCCTCAGCCCTGTTTGCTGCATTCTCTGAAAAACCACTTGCTCTAACCCCAAGAGGCTCTCTCTTCCTTCATAAAACCTGAGATAGGAAGCTGCTCATCAGGGTGCTCTTGAGCTGAGCCGTGGGAGTGAGCAAATGCTGTTCAATCCTTAGAGACAGCATGTCCTCTCCTGGGACTTGTCTCTTAAAGACCAGCCAGTTCATATTCACCTTGCCTGGACGATCCAGGTTTGACCTGGCCCTGGAATGTGAGCACCAACATGCACACTCCTGATCCAGCGACTCCTGAGTCATCTTCCTCCTCGTGCTGCTGCTGTTGAGGAGTCCAGTCACCAGCAGCAGGATGGGTACACATCTTGCTGTTGCAGAATTACACACAAGCAAAAGCCTCTTCCCCTTTCTCCTTGCAGACAGGCTGTCATCCCTGCATCTCACTGTGTTGCTACTTTGCTTCTCTCTAGCCTCGTGCCCTCTGAGCCTGCAAGGTCTGTTGGCTCTTGTACCCAAGATATTTGTTCTCTGTTGCTGGTGGCAGCTGCCAACTTCTTGTGTTCTTCTCAGAGCATTCCTGGCAATTGTACTCCAACCTCAGGAGTGTGTGTGGAGCACTGACCTGGCACCTTTAGTTTGCCATGGTCATATGTGCCCCCAGCCATATGACTCTTGGTGATGGGGACTATGGTGGAGACACAGTCTTGGCACGGGAACAGCTGTGATGAGTCCTTGGTGGCAAAAATCACAGGTCAGACTGTTTTTTCACACAGCTCTATGGGCAAAAGACAGGATCAGATGCAAGGCTCAGCTCTGTGTTGTTATTCCTAGGTCTCTGCACTCTCTGGACTCCTTTCCATCTTCCTGCAAGGCATTTTCAGGAGTAGCAGGGTCAGCTTTCTGGAGGGGCTCTGGGCACACAGGGGAGCCCACCCTGGGACTGCAGTGAGGCATTTAGCCCAGGGTAAAAAATAGTTTTCACACCAAGGAGCACTTTGAATCAGGAGTGATACCTCTCCTGGGAGGAGAAGGCTTTGTCATGCTTAATTACACTCAGCAGGGTTCAGGCATGGAGTCTGCGGGAAGGAGCTGGTGCTTAAGAGGATGGGAAAGGACTAATGGTTGTCATTACTCCAGACTTGGTCCTAAAAGGAAAGCAAAGGTATGACAGATTGTTACCTGCTGGGGCTATAAACCTCAGTGCCCTCACTGGGAAATTCACTGGAGAAATCAGTCCTCTTCAGCTGAAAAGTAGGAATGTCCAAAGAGCTATCTTTGTGTCTGGGCTGTGGGAGTAGAGGATGCTTTGGGTGCTGTGGTTCACAGTCCAGGAAGGGAGTGGGGGGATGCTGTGGGTGTTGGGGTTCACAGATCAGAAAGAGAGTGGGGGGATGCTGTGGGTGTTGGAGTTCACACGTTGAAGGGGATAGAAGTGAGAAACCTGGAGGGACCATTAAGTAATCCTCCCTACAGTGTATCAGTCCTATGTCCTGTGGTTGAAAAGGAAAGGGATAAATGCAGACCCCAGAAATAGTCTTGCTCCAGTAAATGCAAAAGGGAGATTCCAGAGAAAGAGGAAGTCAATAAAAAAAGTCTGAAAATTTAAAATAGTGTCTTAAAAATCTTGCAGCTCAGCAGTAAGGCAGCCCAGGAAGCTCTGAGGGACTTGCAGGAGGTGCTCAGAGACAAGTGTGGAAGAAACTGAAAAGAGAGAAATCAAACCCCCTGATGATCCCAAAGGAGATTTGATGTGCTTAGGTACTGCAGTGATGCTGATGTGTTCTTGGGGATGTGGCAGTAAGGACAGGAAGCTGGGATGGGTACAAACAGGGAATGTGAGGAGTATAAGGTTGTAACTGAAAAACTGAATTCAGTATGGGTACAAACAGGGAATGTGAGGAGTCTAAGGTTGCAACTGAAAAACTAAATTCAGACCAGGGGAGCTGAAGCAGCAAGAGGTCAGCTTAGGAGGTGCTCCTTCAGGGAACAGAAAGAGGGACTGCTAGAGATGGGAATGTCCAGAAAGGATATTCTGGAGGAACTTTGGAGGAAGTGCTATTATTCCATGATTCCAGACCAAGTGGTTGAGCTGAGCAGGCCAGAGCAGTTTCAGAGGGAAGCAGTTCATCACATACCAAAAACTCACAACCACTGAAACCAGTCCTGGAGGGGAACAAGTGAATCTGGCATTTGTCCTGGGAATAAGAGAGCAGGCAGCTGCCCTCCACAGCAGTTGTACAGCCTTGTAGAACATTGGATTCCAAAACAACATTGTGGTTAGTGACACCTTATAAAACAGGACTCTACAATGCCTCTGTGAATAGGCCCTTGTAAAGACAAACCAGTTCACACTGAGAAGGGAGATCCCAGCCATCCCAGCCCAGTCTGGTTGGCTTCTGGAGCACAGCAGGACTGATACCCATGTGAGTGGTGGTTTTTTATTATCTGCCCTGATTGGGTCAGAAACCTGCATGAGAAATTTACTACTTTCATGTGGAAACCTGATTTCCCATCTGTTGATATTCCCTGGCAGTTTCTACCCACATGTTCTTACACCAGCAGTGCCACTGCACCTCCTTCCACCCCTGGTGCTGACTCTGGTGCCTTCACATGGATCAGTCCCTCATTTTCCCACCCCATCAACCCTTTGCATTTAACTCTTCTTATGTGCTTTAACACCAGGGTCATGTCACAATCTTGTGATGTGTAGCATGGGTCTTTCCCTGCCCTACATTTCCAGCTGATAAGCTCCCAAACTGGAATGGCTGTTACTGTTGTCCCTTGTCCCCAGCAGCATGGTCTTACCATCTGCACTGCTGACTTGAATCCCTTCTCTGTTACTCCAGTCCTCAAGGTCATTATAATCTTTCTGTGTAATATCCTGGTCTGTTCTAGATTGATGATAGCATCTCATTTTGCCTCATCAGCAGATTTCCTTTGCCTTCTCCTGCTTTTTGTGCCAAGATCATTAATGCAAATGTTAAGCAGAATAATTTTTGAGGCAGAAACTCAAGGAACTGTGTGGGTAACCCCCCTTCAGTGTAACACATCCCCTTTCAGCTGAAGCAATTACCATGCCCCTTTCAGGCAGCTCTTCACCAAATTTACTTTTCATATGCCAGTCACATCTTCTCTGCCTTAGCTAATAATTTACTATGTGGCATCATTTCAAGTGTCTTCCTGAAGCTCAGACAAGTGAGATCTACTACATTTCCTCCATCACAAATACCTCTGAACTTATAAAAGGAAGCTATTAGGTTAGTGTTGGTGTGTGTCAGGGTATTTAAACCATGTCAAGGTAATAAATTAAACCGAAAATAGTTTCAGCTGTATCAATGTGCCTGTTAATGAAGAGCCAATTTTTATGCCTAAATCAAAGGTTTGTTCTATCAACCCCTTTGGGTGTCTCTGAAATCCCTCCTGGAGCTCTGACATGGGACCCACAGGGACTCTCTTGCCCTCCCCTCACCCTGTGCTTGCTGTTTCCCCACTTTGGCTGCAATGCCAGGGCAGCTCCTGTGGTGCTTCCCCCTCTCCAGCCCAAGTTCAGCTCTGGTGCCACCTGGCACATCCCCATGGGGTGCCACCAGCATCTCATCTGGGTCTGCCAGTGCCTACTCTTGTTTGGGAAATGCCCTGGCAGTTCCTGCAGTGCTTCTACGGCTTCCTCTTCCTCAAGATCCACTGAAGCAGGTGGCATGGGCACTCAAGCTGGGGCACACGTGTCCCCCAAGCCCTGTGACTGGGAATGGGGCTGCTCGTGGCTTGGATGGGTGCCCAGTTCACTGGGTAAGAAACTGACTGATGGCTGGGCCCAGAGAGTGGTGGGGAATGGAGTTACACCCAACTGGTGCCAGTTTCCAGTGGTATTCCCTAGGGATCAGTACTGGGGCCATGGAGCTGGGGACAGGGCTGAAGCTCTGGAGTTACACCCAACTGGTGCCAGTTTTCAGTGGTATTCCATAGGGATGAGTACTGGGGAATGGAGTTATATCCAACTGATGCCAGTTTCCAGTGGTGTTGTCCAGGGATCAGTACTGGGGAATGGAGTTATACCCAACTGGTGCCAGTTTCCAGTGGTATTCCCTAGGGATCAGTACTGGGGCCATGGAGCTGGGGACAGGGCTGAAGCTCAAGTTTGATGAGGAGTGGTTGAGGGAGCTGGAGAAAAGGAAAAAGAGGAGAAAGGGTGCTGAGCTGGGCATGACACAGGGTGTATGATGGCAGGTGAGCTCCAGCTGCCAGGATGGGAGCAGAGTGAAGGTGGGTTCAGGAAAGCACGAGAGCACCCTACACTTTGGGAATCTTTGGTAGCAGCTGCTCCCCCAGGCACTGGAGACTTCTCTGCAATTCCTGTGACTCCTGTGGCTCCATCTACTCTGCTCCTTCAGGCTGTGAGGCACTGGCATTGTCCATCTCTGTGCTGCTCCCAGAGCTGCTGATCTGCTGGCTGTGGGGCACCTCAGTCACTGCTGGGGCTGACACTGCACCTGGACCTTCCACTTCCCCTATGGCAATGAGCAGGGATGTGTCAACCAGGATTTTTTTGGAGTTCAAGTGAGTGTAGGCACTTGTTGTGGTTTCAGCTGGGACAGAGCTTATTTTTTCTCAATATGGTTCTTTTGATGGACTTTTGGGTTTTTTTTTTTTTAATATTTGATGATAGATTCAGTATGAGAACAGTGTTGATAACACACTGATGTTTTAGTTGTCCCTAAGTAGTGTTTATCTAGTCAAGGACTTGAGGAGCTGCACCAGACTCAGACTGGGGAGAGGGTAGCACTCTGGCCAGGAGGAGCAACAAATCCAGGGTTTGGGGAGAGTCCCTGTGAGTCCCTTTTCCCAGGGCTTTATCAAGGAGACATCAAAACTGACTCTCATTAACAGACACATTAATATAGTTGAAATTATCTTTATTTTAATGTATTGTTTTAACATAGTTTAAATTATTTTTCTGCTTTCTATAATTTTTTTTAGAAAAAAATATTAAGTTTAACTTAAATAAGTTAAATAAAATAATTTTCCCTATTGAAGAAAGCTGCAGGTCATGTGCTGTCTTCTGTGCCTGAGGCTAGAAGCCAAGTAGGGACAGGACCGTGGGCATCATGGGTGGCAGAGAGGAAGGGTCAGTTCTTCAGAGTCTGGAAGTTCTTCAGGATTTCCTGCACCCAGGATGCCTGGGGATCCACACACACCACCTTCTTCCTCTTGGTCACCAGGCTGCCAGGAGAAAACCTATGTTGAGGCTCTGGTTCCCACCAGCAGCACCCTGAGTGTCCCTGGCCATGTCCCCAACCCCCACCCAGCCACCCTGGAGCACCACCCCAAGCCCCTGGCAGTGTTGGGTACTCACATCACCCCTGGGTTGGTGCAGCTGCTGCTGGTGGGGTAGACGAAGTCGATGCGGCTCCGTGGCACTGGGCGCTGTTGGTAGGTGGAGCAGCAGGAGGTGGGGACACCATCTGTGAGGGCAGAGGGACAAACACACAGCCCTGGTGAGACCCCCAGCTACAGCACAGCCTCTGGCCCCACTGGCACTTGGGGTTCCCCAGGGATTTGCCAGCTCCCATCCTCCCCCTGTGTCATATTCCCTGGCAATGCCCCCCCAGCCCCAAGCCTGCATCCCACACTGTGGCAGAGTCTCCTGCTCCCAACCCTTCCCACAGCCACCAGAGTCCCCACTGATGAGGATGGAGCTCTCTGGCAGCTCCCATGGAGTGATTGCTCCCCCAGCCCCAGGGAGGCTGCAGTGATGCCAGACTCACCGAGATGGGCCTCGGATGGAGAGCAGGTGGCCACGAGGAGGAGAGCGACCAGGGCAGCTGCAAGGACCTTCATGGTGCTGTGGAGCTGAGGGATCTGCAAGTGCAGCTGGAGGTGTGGAGGCTGCAGGGCTCTCTCTGCACGATGCTCAGCCCCTGTGGCCATGCTCTCCTTTTATCCCTGTCCGCTGAGTGGGCACAGGATTTCAAGGAAAGAAAGTGAGTGCATCATAATGAGGAAATTATGTCAGGATCACCTAATTTTGCTGAGCTGGAGAAGGCAAGGAAACCACAGAAGGGGAAGTGCTGGCCACGAGGATGAATTTCAGTTGCTATTTGGGTGGCTGGCAGGGACTAGTTGGAGCTCAAACACCAACCTTCTTGCTGCTGCAAGGACTTCACAGGCTGTGAGGAATCTTGGGGTTATGAAGCTCTACAACCAGAGCTCTAATGTCAATTCCAAGCAGGTACCCGTGAAGGAATACCAGGAAGCACTGGGAAGGGTTTTGCTTTGCACCAAGCCCAGCAGTATTGCTGTGTTGAGGGGCTGCAGAGACCCCAGTCCAGCCCAGGTGCCCTGGCATGGGCATCCCCAGCCACTGCTGCTATTGCTGGTGGAAAACCAGTGCCAGGAATCAAATCCCAGCTTCTCCCTGGGTTTGCCACAAATACCACTTCTTACCCTGCTCCACCACAGGGACCCAGAGGTAGCTCCATAATGATACATTGCACACACATTTGTCACCACTGATAATGCTCATTCTTGCTTGGACATGTAGGAAAGGAAAGATCATGTAGGAACAAGGTTGTGTTGAGCTTGCAGTCACTGGGGGTCTCACATATGTCCCTTTTTGTTGGTAATACAGTCCCAAGCAGTGTTCCCATGCTGGGAAGATTGCAAAGACATGGAGCTCCTACCAGCTCTGTTGTCCTGTGGACTCAGACTCTGGGACTGGACTCTGATGCCCTGCTCCAGGGCTGGAGCAGAGGGCTCAGACTGCAGCCTAGCCTGGCACCCTCCCTGTCCCCGGGCTGAACACAGGATTTACACCTGTCTGAGGATTTTAGTTTTGGCTGCAGCCTCTTGACTGTCAGGTTGTTGCAATTACTCCTTGCCCACCTCTTCTCAAGCAGGAAAATTTAATCCAATTTAAACTCTGCCTACTGGTTTGGCCCCAAAAAGCAAAGAGCCCTGTGTCAGGACACAGGATGTTAAGAGCAGGAGATGGAGGGAGGAGAGGATTCTGCTGGTGCCCACTGAGATCAGCTCATTTCAGCCTTGCAGATGAAACCTCCAGGAGACTGGAGGGTGACTGAAAAGAGGCAGCATTTGCAATGCCAGAGGGTAATTCCCAAACACCATCACTCTGGTGCACACCCAGAGAAAGCTGCCAAACCAGCCACTTCCTTCATCTTTTTCCTTTTTCCAGCCTTGCCCTGATGCTGCCCCATGATGCCCATGCTGCCCATCTCCCAGCTACCACACACACCTCTGGCCTTCCCTGCCCTTCCTCCTGACCCTGGCTTGGGCATGACTAATTACTGCTGCTCTGATCAAGGGGAAAGTCTAACTCACTGAAGTGCTGAGCAATGGCTGTGCCCATCCCCCCATCCCCACCTCATGGCAGCTGCAGTGGCCTTTAGCCCAGCCAACAGGTCCTGTGTCTCAAGCTCATATTTGCTTGAGTGGACTTGGAGGATGAGGAGAACAGGTCATGGTTATTTCATTAAAAAAAGATGGGACAAAGGTGGGAATGGGTGTAAATCACCTCCTGGAGTTGGTCAGGAGGAGCCAGGAAATGCTGATCTGGCCTCAGGGTGGTGGAAGAACAGGTACAGCTGTTCCAGCTGTTCCAGCTCCTTACTCCAACTGCCCAGGTTTCAGCTATTTCTGTTTCAGCCCCTCAGTGGCTGAATAAATCCTTTGTATTTAACAGTGACCAGGGTCCTCATTTGGGGCATTTGAGAAGGGCTTGGAGGAGAGCTAGTACCTACTGTAACTGCTCCTGCTTGTCACATGTCCCTGGATGCACAAAAGCAGAAGGAAAGGGCTCTGTTCCTCAGAGAAATGAAGATCTGCACAAGTTTTTCTGTTAGACCATTGCAGAGTCACTGAGAAATTTCTCTTCAGCTCAAAGCATCCTTAGTGTGCAGAGGAATCCCAGGGTCAGGCAGCAGAAGACTTTTGTATTTTCATGAACCTCTCTGCCTGTAAACCCCCACATGTCCCACAGAGACCTGCCCCAGACTTCTGCCCTCCAATCACCCCATTCTGGCACCTCTCCTGCCCTCACCAGAGCCAGCTATGCTTTGGGTATTGAGAACTGGAAAGGAGGATAGAATCATAGAATCATAGAATTTTAGGGGTTGGAATGGACCTTACAGATCATCTAGTGCCACTCCCTGCCCAGATCAGGGACACCTCTCACTAGATCAGGTTGCTCAAGGCTTTATCCAGCCTGGCCTTGAACACTGCCAGGGTTGGGGCATTCACAGCCTCCTTGGGCAACCTGTGCCAGTGTCTCACCACCCTCACAGGAAAAAACGTTTTTCTAATATCTAACCTAGACTTCCTCTCCTTCAGTTTGAACCCATCACCCCTAGTCCTACCCCTGCAGTTCCTAACACAGAGTCCTTCTCTGGCTCCCTTGTAGGCCCTTCAGATATTGAAAAGATGCTATGAGGTCTCCACACAACTTTTCGACATGCATACAATAGGCTGTTATGATGAAGGAAAACAGAAACTGCCATCTAGGTCAACCACAGGAACAGGATGCTTTGGCCCCATGCACCAGGCTGGGATTGTTCTGGGAGGGCAGCCTTGAGCCAGGGGTGAGCAATGACAGTGGGCAATGTTGGCTTGGTAGGAGCCCCTTCACCTGCCCAAGTAGAGAGAAAAGGAGTGGGATGGACAAGAGAGCAGCACTGGCAGGAGGGTGGTAAGGAATATCCCACATCCAGCAAATATTAGAAACTGACATCAGGGCAATGAAAAATAGAATCTGTGGGCACTGGCATGAGCAGTTTACAGAGGAAGACTTGTCATCCGGTAGGAAGCACGGAAAATCTCACAATTACAAAGATTATTTTTGATGGAAATGACAAAAGTGTTTCCTCTTTGCTGCAGAAGTGATGGCCAAGCTTTCAGTTCTCCATTTAGATGAGGGCCGGATGGGACTTCTTACTGGATGCTGATGAAATACTTTCCATTATAACTGGAATCAAGGATATTTCAAAGAATTGCATAAAACTGCAGCTCAGCAAATCTAGATAGTTTGTGTTCTAAGAAATTAAATATAAGGAACTGATGTAAAGGGAGAAAAGGGAAAAGAGAACAAGTTAGGAAGAGGTAGGGAAGGCAGGTGTAATCAAACAAAAAGGCTCCAAACATTCCTCTGACTTCCTTCTGAGCCAGACTGTGGCCATCTCTGATCAACAGGGAAAACTCACATGAAGTGGGAGAGGTACCAGAAAGTCATTGATGAGCAAACATGACACCAGTCTTGCATGATCTGATGCTCTTGGCACTGCCTTACATGAGACTCCCAAGGAAAATGAGAGAATTCAAGTCTAAAACCCCCATCACCCCCAGGGGCTCTGCAGAGGGTTGAAAGAGCAGAAGGTACACCATGGTGGCATGTGGAGAGCTGCATGGAGAGAGCAGCCAGAAACATCAGGGACAGTGTGTGGCCAGAGCAGAGCCCCAGATCTGCTCAGTCCTGGAGTGAGGAACCTGCCTCTTAGGGCTGCACATTTCAAGAAGTAAGGAATAGAAGAAGAGTGAGAAAAGTCCAGGAAAAAGGTCCTGTGTCCAGACAGGACAGACAGGCAATGCCATGGGGTTCATTCAGACTAGAAGAGAAGGTGAGGGATGACCTCCATCAGTGTAAGGGGACAGCAGAACCTCTGGTCTCCAGGGCTGCTGAGGGAAGCTGAGACATGCTGCCTCAGCCTGCAGCTGGGGAAGCTTTGATGAGAGTTTCCCCCTAGGACAATGCCAGCAGCAGACTATATTTCTGACCCTGAGTCAGGGCAGAGGGATGCTCTCAGCACCTCTTTCAGGAGAGGCTCCCAGGCCCCTGGGACCATGCACTTTGCAGCACTGAAGGCATCACAGCAGCCTTTCCCATGCACCAGTCTAAGGCAGAAGGAAACCCGAGGCTGAAAGAAACTGCCAACACCACAATCCGATTTGAGTGTAGTGAAATCCACATGACATTATGCAACATCTGTCTGGGAAGTGACATTTCATCATTGATAAATATTATGCAAAGGGGCCCCATGGCTCGAAGTTACAAGGAGAACATAGGGCAGCCACCAGCCTCACCCTGCAGTGAGCTGTCACTGACCCTTGTGTATGCTGTTTTAGGAGAGTAACTCAGCATGTAAAGCAGAATTCCTAAACCAGCCCCCACTGATGTGGCTATCAGGCCTGGGGCTGAAGGATGGTGCTAAATCTCTCCTGGCCCCTCTCTCTCCTTCTGCAGCTGCCCCTGTTTAACCACTTGTTCCATCTGGGACAAAACCAAACCAACCCCTAAACCTCCCAAGGTCCCCCCAGTGCCAATGTCTCTCCCATTTCCAGTCTTGCCTGTCTTTCTTCTGCCTCAATCCTCATCCCACTGGGTAGGCAGCTGCTGAGAGCATCCTTAAAGGCCATGCCTGGGCAGGGGCTGCTTCATCTTGAAGGGGAGCTTGGGGATCAGCCATGGCCTTTCAGGTTGTCCTGCCCCCCCAGGGTCTCCTGGACTATTCCAGAGTCCCTGCAGGGATGCTGAGCCCTAATGTGATCCGTTTTCTCCAGCAGGTCAGCATGAGATGATTTATTGAATCCATCGAGGGATGTGCTGTACAGTGGAGGGGGTGAGGGCAGGGAAGGGAAAGGAGCCAGCTCCATAGAATAGGGATACCAGAACACAGAGATAATTATGGCATATAATAGAGTTTATATAAATAAATAAATAGTGCTTAAGGGGAAGGCAGCTTCATGTGGAGGTGGTGATTGACTTCTGCTTCAGATACTGCTGGAACCAGTCCCTCTTTGGGTCCACACAGAACTTCCCCCTCGGCAACTCCACGCTGCAGGGGAAAGAGCATCCTCTGTTAGTTGGGAATGGAGGATCCCTGCCAGCCTAGGGATGGCTGCAGCGCTCCCAGCCTCCCACTTTCCCCAAAAGTGCTGACTTTTGGTAGTCTGAAATTTCAGCTTCCTTCCCATTTTTTTCGGGCTGGCAGCTGAAATGGGGGATTTTGGAGCTATTTGGGATTAAGTGGTGAGGAGGGAGGTGGATGTAAAGAGTCAGGTTAGAGTACCCCCACCCACAGCACCCTTTGCAGGGTGACTTGTTTTTGGGGATCCCCAAAGGCAGAACAACGGGTAGGGAAGGTGGATGAGAGAGGCTGTGGAGTGGGATGCCAGGGAGAAAGGCTGGGTTGGAGCTGGGATTACTTACATCACAGCCTTGTAGGGGCAGAGGGAAGATGTGTTCTGGTAGCTCTTGATTCGGGAGGCAGGGATTTTCTGGTGGATGAACATACCCTTGTAGCAGCACATGCTAGGGGAGCTGCGGACTGAGAGGAGGAGAAAGGATTTGGTGCTTTCCTATGCCTGGCACAAGGGGTGTGGGTGCTCTCTGGGGACTCTCCTGCTCCCTCATGCTAGAAAGGGTCCCCTCCTGCATCCCCAGCAGTGCTGCTTTGCCCCAGGGTAGGAGCCCCCATTTCCCTGCCCATGGTGCGTTAGCTCACAGAGCTCCCCAGATGGAGTTCTGGGGCTGAAGCCATGCCCATGCCTATTTTTGCTCATTTTGAACAAGCCTAGGACAGCCCTATGCTCAGGCAGCTGGTGATGCCCCTCAGCCCCCCAAACCCATAGCAGAAGCAGGAGCTGAAGCTCTCCTCCCCCTCCTCAACCCCCCAAACCCCATCAGAGGTTGGCAGCTGTGGGGAAAGGCTCAGTATCAGTACTTACAGGACATGCCCTGGCTTCCAGTCCAGGTTGCTGCCAGTAGCAGGGTGAGCAGGGCCAAGGAGCAGATCTTCATGTCCAGCCCAGGGCTCAGTCAGCACCAGAACTCGTCTGCTCTTAGTGACTTGGGGCTACTGAGAGCTACCTGCCCCTCCTGCCTGCACCCCAACGTGATATATAATCCCTGTTGGGCTTTCCATGACATCTGTGGACTCTCCCCTGGGGAAAAAACCACCTGGATCTATTGATAAAGGGCAACTGGTGAAGGGAAATTCCTTCTCCCAGCCCATCCCCATCTCTTTGACCACTGCAGTACTCGAGGGCTGCTGGAAAGTGTGGTGAGCAGCTGATGATGCGCTGGAACTCTCGGTCTATTTTGGGTTTGGTTGCTGCCACTGGCAAACCACACAGGATGATTCTCAGAGCTGCCAGAGTGTGAGTGGCTTGTCAGAAACCACCTGTTGCCACGGGCTGTGATGCCTCTCTTGCAATTTTTGCACTGGGGTGAGTAGCTCAGCTGTAGCTGGGCTCACCCCAGCCCACCCTGGGACCCACAGCTGGCTGTCCATGGTGGTAGCTTTGCCCATCATGGTGCCTGTCACAGTGGCAGTGCCCATCACTTTTCCTTATGGCATCCTGAGATTTTGGGCTGTCAGTGAGACCTGACCAGGCACCCCAAAGGGGCTCTTCTGATAGAATTTGGGCTAGAGCTCTCTGCTGGGGATGGTGGATGAGGAACACGGGAAGCTCTCCTCTCATGGGCTGTGCCTGCCTGTTGCCCCTCTCACTGGTGCTTCCCCAAATCCTTCACGGACATGGTTTGGCCCCGTGCACTCCCCAGACATCCTCACCAAGACATGGAGCTTTAGCTCTTCCTGGCTAATTACTGACCCCAGCACCTGGATAGGAAAGCCAGCAGCAGGATCTGCCTGCTCCCAAGACACTTGCACAGGCAGATGTTTGCATGTGTGAGATCACGTTTAATTCTGTTCAGTGTGTCATACATAAAATAACTGTGGAGCTGTTCCCCCTTAACCCCTTGGCTGCTGCCAGACCAGCAGGCACAGCCTTTCCAACAAGCTGCCTGGGGCAGCAGGACTGGAATCAGGGGGAATGGCAGCGGAGCTGGACCTCAGCGCCCTGCGGGATGGGCATGCTCCATCCTGGTGGGATGCTGGCATTGGCAAAGGCCCTTTGCCTTCAGGGAGGTGATGAGGGTCATCACAGCATGATGGAGAGGTTGTCCCCAGTGAGCTGCTATATCCAAATGTGTCTCCCCAGCCACCTCTGCAGAGGGGTTGCCTTCGTGGCGTCCCCCACGGAGAGGACTCCCCCGCTGCCTCCGGCCACCGCGCTAGCTGGGGATGGAGTAGGAGCTGACTTGGAAGCTCTGCTGGTACCTCTTTACCCAAGCTCTGCTTGCCTGGGTGCAGATCTCCTTCCCACTCCTCACCTTGAAGCTGGGGCAGAGAGAAGATGGGGTTAGGAGGGTGATGCAATAGGAACCCTAGTGCTGAGTTTCTGAGGGGCTTGGAGGCACAGAGGATCAGGATTTGACCCACCAAAGCAAAGTGGGTCTAGAGGGGCTTTACCTCAAGGGTGGATTTAGGTACTCACATCACTGCCTGGTGTGGGCACTCTGGGCTGGTGGGGTAGCAAGCAACGACGTTGTCTCTCTTGATCCTTCTTGTCTGGAAGTTGAAGCAGCACTTGTCCGGCACGGCTGGGCCTCCTGGGGGGACAGCACAAGGTCAGCTTAGCCCGGAGGCTCCCACCTCCTACCTCAGCCCTCCTGCCCTGGGAAGGATGGCTCTTTGAGGGGAGCCCTCTGCTCCCCATGCATGAAGCAAACCCATTCCCACAGCCCTGGAGACTGTGCCCATCCCTCAGCCCGCGGGGATGGAGCAGGTGGCAGTGCTCACTCTGAGCCAGGCTCCGACAGCACAGCGTGGCGAGGAGGAGGAGGAGGACGCAGACCATGCTGGTTGTCTTTGCCATGCCTGGCCGTGGCAGGGCTGCTCCGTGGTGCTGGGGCAGAGCTGCTGTCTGCCAGGGTCAGGGCTGTCCTGCTGCTTTTATGGGGGAGCAGGGGGCTGGCTTCCCCCAGGGCCAGCCGCTGCGTGAGCAGGGGGAGGACCTGGTCCCTCGCCACGTCCCAAAGCACCAAGGGTAAGCAATACTCATCCCCTCCCAGCACAGCCCTGGGAAAGGAAAAATCTGCTTCCAGGCCCTGCTTTTGGCACCCAATGGGCTTGGGATTTTTCTGAGCTCCTGCCTCCAGCGTTAAGGCTGATGGACAGGCTGCTCCCAAAGTTTGGCTCTGTGCCCTCGTTCCCTGGGTAAGCTGTGTGCTCCATGGCAGGAGCCCCAGTGTGGGTGAGAGAGTCTGGGGATCTCCCTTGGATGGAACCAGGGACAAGCTCAGCATCCTGCAGGGTCCCCAGCAGCCACACACTGTCCCAACAGTCCATGACCTCACCCTGTGCTGCGAAATTTTGTATCCCACCATTTTGCAACCCAACACCAACAGCCAAATACCACCCCCACAAAAAAAAAAGAAGAAGTCATAAAGACAATAAAGCTATAGAAGAAAACCAAACATAGAGAAACAGCTATCCTTTGGTTGTATTGGGCATGTAAAAATCTATGTGCTGGTTTTAGGGGGTTTTGGGGCCCATCAGGGCCAGGGGAAGGCAGGCAGGTGGCTTCACTTCCCTCCGCTTGGCGCCAAAGCAGCAGCTCATGTTCTTGGCCATGCTGAGCTGGGAAAGGCAGAGGCCAGTTTGGGGCTTCCCCAGTGAGTTGTGCCTGGCTGCAGCTGTCAAAAAAGCCCTTTCTCCCCCCAGCCCCTGCAAATCCCAGGGTGCATCCCAGCTGCCAGCAGCTGGTGGATGGTGGGAAGCAGCAGAGGGATGCAGACACACATCCCTGCCAGCCCAGCTGTGCGGGCAGCCACGTCCTGCCGTGTGGGGCTGGGGACACTGATAACATCCTGGGGCATTTCATCATCCTGTCGTGGAGAAGGCATGGGATGCTGGTCCAGGCAGGGACCAGCCTGGATGGGAATCGGAATCATCTCCATGGTGGAATGACCACCTCAATTTGTTTGGGGTGCACAAGTGGGATAATAGTGAGGTGCAGCAAGTGGGGCAGAGTGATGCCTGGGGCTGGTGGATGAGGACAAGGAGGGTTTGTGTTTGTCTGGCTGGCAGGGAAGAGCACCTTCCGTCATCACCCAAGCTCCCAATTAATCTCTTCTCAGGGTGCAGGGGAAAGCAGATGACTCTGGTTGTGATGTGGTGCAGCTGCCTGGCTCGCCTTTCTCTTACTGGATCCATCTTTTCCCTCATCACCCTTCTCACCCCCACACACTGAGGAGCTACTGGCCCAGCTGGGGTAAACGTGGCCCTCTAAGGGTAGAAAATATTCCCTGCAAGAAGAAAATGAAACATAAGGAAAACAAAACAGGATGTATTTGTCTGGGAAAAGCCAGTTTTAGAGACTTCTAGGCAAAAGACTGGGATGAAACAGGCCAGGAATGACATTTCCAGGAATGACATTTCCAGCACCTGCAGCATCCCTCTGCCCTGAGCCCAGACACTGGTGTTGGCCCCATGGGCCGAGTGGATGCTGGTAGAGGATTTTGGAGCATGGGGGATTTTCAGCCCTGGTTGGGCCCCTGGAGCTGACAGCCCCTGAGCACCCACAGATCTCCCATACCTGCCTGCATCTCAGGAGGTGTATTCCCTTCCCTCCCCATATCAGTCAGGACAGGGCTCTACTGGGTTGCCCAGACAAAGCTCCAGAGTCAAGGGTGCCCATGGGGGCTCAGAGGCCCAGAGGCAAAATCAGCTGCTCCTGTGGCTCTTGAATTTAGGAGAAACTGGTCTTTTCTCCCTTCCAGCTCATCAACCCTCTTGCATTTGATGCAGAGAAGGTCATGGGACATGGGCGGATCCACTGCTGTGATAAGCAGATGCAGTCTCTGCTCTGGGGTGGCCTCTGGTCCCATATGTGAACTGGGCAGAAAATCCTTTTCCTCCCTTTTTTCCATGGAGGCTCCTTGCCAGCACTCACAATTCTGGCCCCAGGTTTGACTGCAGAGGTGTTTGCCTCTGCAAAACAAATGGGAGACATCCTGCTCCTGCACAGGGAGAGGTGGAAAATCTGGGGACTGGCAGAGGCATTTGGGACCCTGCTGGGGGTTAAGCTCTCACTGGCCCCTCCAAAAATTTGTAGGTGCTCCACTGCTAGGTGGGATGAGGAATTCCTGATGGATGCTGCATCCCCGTGGCTGCCTCCCTGCATCCCCGAACAGAAAGCAGAGCAGCTCCTGGGGAAACCACCACTAGCAGAAGTGTCAGTGCTTAATCACCCTCTGTCCTCAGAACCAACCCCAGCCTCATCTCACTGAGAGCTGCAGTGCTGGGGCTGCTGGAGATTGCTGCTGGGCACACAGGGACACCCACTTGGCAGCACAGCCCCCCTGGAAATGCTGCTCGCCCTGGGTGAGAGCTGCTTTTCCAGCCCTGTGTGCAGATGCTTTATTGATGCTGCAGCACTTCTCCTCGTTTCAGCTGATCAATAACCCCGGGGGAGGAAGATCTAAGTGCAGTGCCCGTGGGACGGGGCAGCTGCTGCAGCTGGGGCAGCCAAAGTCATGACTGTGATCAAAGCAGCTTTGCCAGGTCAGGTCCGTTTCTATAAAGGATTTGTTTGATTTATTCTTCTCCCTTTTAAATCTTGGTTGGATCAGCTTTTCCATTACCTTGCTGGGGCTGATGCTGAGATAACCACTAAATTCACATCTCATGTATGCTGTTTCCTTTTTGAAGGTCCTTGTCCAGCTTCAGCCACCCAGGACCTCCCCAGCTGCTCGCAGAGATGGTTTATATTGGGATGGGTGCCCATGGCTCATAATCCCCCCTGTGCCATTCCTGATCCCAAAGTGAGAATCTCTCTCCTGGGATGACAGTCCCTCCCCTTATTCCCCGAGGGAAGGGGCTTTGTGGTACCCATGATGTGCTGTTCACACAGCTCATCTCTCAGCATTTCATCCTCTCTCAACTGTCCTGAGCTGAACTCTCCCCCTTCCCCGACATACTGCTGTGTGCTGACTGACTCATTTCCCGTGTCCTTTGGCCCCAGGCATCCTAACAGCCTCCACATAGGGACCAGCTCTGGCTCAAAAGTTGATTTCACACCAGACTCCTCTGCTTGAGATTGTAATCAGGGCTGGGCTGCTCGAGTTGAGTGATTTCTTCCTACTGCTCCCCAGCCCTGGCCTTTGAAAACCCAGAGTTTTAAACTAAGGTAACCCCAACCCCCTTCTGCCTCCTGATCTGCACCCTGACGTCTTCAGGTTGCACATGCCTCATGATTTCCCAGCAACCTGAAAGACACAAACCAGCATTTAATGGTGGTAAATAAAGAATCCCTCCCAAAACCAGGTAAGATGCTCACAAAATCCTTTACACTCAGAAACTGGGGTCAAAAGTAATTAAAAAATCCACACTAGGGACTTGCTGGGCTGTCTGGATTTTCTCCAAGCACAAGACCCAAGGGTGGGCAGCGCAGGGAGGCAGCAATGGGTCACAGGGATGTGGGGGATTGTGTTGCACCCCCACGACGTGGCCCTGGGTCCCCGTGGTGTTTTCCCAGCTATCAGCAGCTACGATCGCACTTTGTGGCCTTGGTGACTGTTTTCACACGTATTTTCTGAAACTGCCTGACCAGGGAGGGGAAGACACCCCACAGGAGATGAATTCATTTCTTCCAGGACCACCTCGGCATGTTTTGCTTGTGTCTCCTTCCCCTGACATCACTCTGAGCCGGAGAGTGGGACTGCTGTGGCCAAAGCAGCAGCTCCATCACAGATGCTCTTCCCCCTTGGTGTGAGTTGCTTTTGGAATTACCCTAAAATACTTTTGCAAATCTCCTGGGTCGGCTGTGGGGAAAATCCTTCCTCCCACTATCCTGACGAATTTGGTGTGGGGAAAATCCAAAGCAAGAAGCATTGGATGCGGCACCAGCAGTGGGAATGGGGGAAGATGATGGGGATGATGATGGGGATGAGCAGCTGCTCTGCAGGGCTGGGTACCACTGGCCTTTGGGGTTTTTGGGCTGTCTCAGGGTTCATGGCAGTAGCTGGACCATGAGCCGGGTGACTTATCAGCCCATGGGGGGCTTGAGCATAGCTAGGGTTGCTGGCCTGGGGCGCAGCAGCAGCGAAGAGGTTTCGGCATCCTTCCTAGCCTTGGATGATGTTTTCCCTCCTTTTGGCACAAGATGTCAGTGCTGCCCAAGGAACGGCTGTCAGTGCCGTCCCACCGCATGGCCTGGCCGGGCCATGGAGCTCCTTCTCCATCGCCTTGGGGTCCCCAGCCTGGGGTGCTGCACCCTGGGACCCAGGTGTGCCCCCCACACCGCCGCCAGGCCCCACCGGGGCTTCTCCTGGCAGATGGAGATGCACGGAGAGCAGCAAGCCTTAGCCAGCTCCGTGGCTTTGGATCTTTCCCTTTGGAGACACCACAAGGCTCTCAGACACTGCCAGCACCATTGGGAATCATCATCTGTGCAGAAATCCAGGAGGCTGGAAGAGGAAGGTGAAGGGCGTTCAGCCCCATTCCCACATCCCATGGCACTGCTGCTGTCCATCCTCCCCCTCCCCATTGTGTGCAGGGGATGGAAAGCATTTCTCTGGGAGCTGGCAGTCCTTGGGGAGGGATGAGATTCTCCTTGCCGGGAAAAAAAAATTAGGGAAGTGAATACAGAGGGAAAAGAAGCCTGGGATGAAAGAACCAAAACTCTCTACTAGCAACACGTGGAACAGAAGGGAAAAAACCCCTCAAAATACTGTTGACAAGTCTGAAGGCTTCTGGGACCTTGGCTGACCAGAAAAATAACACATCAAAGACCCCACGTATGCCTGAAGACAGATAAAAACTCTGAGCCAAAATGTTCTATGAATATTTAACTACCATCAATATTTAATTAGC